AAAAGACAAGAGCTATGAGGAGAGGCTAGAGGCATTAAATATACCAAAGCTAGAAGATAGAAGAAAAAGAGGTGATATGATTACTATGTACAAAACAGAAACGGGAATCGACAAAATTGATAAAGAAGAATTCTTGAGAACTGGAACTTCAAGAACAAAAGGTCACTGATTTAGGTTAACTAAACAAAGCTGCCAAAAAAATTTAGCAAATTCACTTTTGCAAATAGTAGTAGATGATTGGAACAAGTTAAGTAAGAAGGTGGTGAAGGCCAAAACCATCAGTAGTTTCATAGCATTATATATGACAAAAAATACTGGGAAGATGGAACACCACAAGCATAGCTCTCATCCTGTAACTACACTTAGGGAATTATCTCATAAACAGGGAGACCCAGGAACTAGGCAGAGACAAACATGTCTACTTGCTGATAGCTGAGCAACCCACAAATCAGAGGAAGGAGGCCGCATCTACCTTTCACCCTGTCAAAACAGATAGGAAGCATGTATTAGGATGGGCCATATTAGTGACCATGTCCATGTACTGTAGATCAAAGTACTGTACCCTCAGGGCCAGGAACTAAACCCCCCAAAATGATCAAAGGACAACCATTTACCATGCTTTATAAATCCCTAAGATCTAATCATGTCCTCTCTCTCTCTGCAGAGGAGGAGCACTGCAGAGACCGAGCGCACATTTCCTTGTGGAGCTCCAAGCCTCAACAGAGAAGGCAGGGAACCAAACAGGGAGAGTAGGTCCCCTAGATTCCATCACATTCCCTGAGTGATGCAGAGTGGGTTTTTTATACTGTAGTGGTGCTTTCAGGTCGCAGGGAGTCAGTAATTTCTTTACTATCAGACCTGAGTGTTTGGAACAATATTGTTTTGACAGAAGAGATGGGAATACCTACATCTAATTCAACCAGATCTGAAACCTATGTTCATGGGCAGCACAAAACGTCCTTCAGAATGTACAACACAGTGGTTGCCAGGATCAGGTTGGGTTACCGTCACCTGTGGCAGGTGGCTACAGGTGAGGATCTCCCAATCCTGAGCACTCCAGATGCAAACTCTGTGAGCAGGAACTGCAGTATGATCTCCCACACTACATCACCGAATGCCCAGTTATGAGACCATTCAGACCCGTTGGCATGAGGTACCTAGAGCTTTGCAATTACTTCATTCACTCTAATGTTCTTGAAGATATTCTTATATTGCACCCAAAATTTGTCAGTGCAGGCTACTGAACATATGGCCCTGTATGACTAACCATCCTGCAACATGGGGACTTTTAGTATCACTGCTACCTTATTCACTCTTGTGTTCATGATGATATACTCATAATGCACCCAGAGTCTGCCAGTGCAGACTACTGATCACATGCCTCTGTATGACTAACCATCCTGTGTGATGGGGATTTTTTAGTACAATGTAGCTAGCTTTTTGACACACTGCATTTCCCTTCATATAGTTTAGGGTAGCTGCACAAATGCAGATGTACCTAATATATTAATAAAAAAAAGGAGTGAGCAGGCACTGATGCCATACTCAAAATAAATGTAATGAATGCCAACCCTCACTGGTAACAAGACTAACACTAGGAAAGTTATGAAGGCATGCATAAATTATTAAAATGAAATGTTTGAGCAGAGAACTTAAGCCCCGTACAAATGTAACATACTGTACCAGTACTTTAATTGTATTTCAATTTATTTATTCAGCTTTACTGAACATTATATCTTATTAATATTAAATGTAGTAATCATATATAGGTAAATAACACATAAGAGAACTTCTAAAATATATATATATATAAATATATTATAGTGTAGAAAAATATAACTATACTGTACTTACATAAAGGATCCATCAAATGGAATTTTGCCCATACATTGAACATCACAGAAATCAAGCACTATTATTCAATAGCATTCGTATGCATGACTATGTTTTACACACCTTTTTCACATGTGCTGATCACACATGTGAAACCTGATTTCACACCTGATCAACCAGACTGTGATTCATACATCAGGCTGTGAGCAGCCATGTCCAACAGCCTGGTTGACCAGTCCGGCAACCAGGAGGCCTGGTCAGGGACTAGGCGACAGGGACGTTGAGCCCCAAAATCCTTGCACGGTAACCGCAAGGTGCATACATTCATGTGTGCAGGTGTGTGATCGTATGTACATTTCTCAACATGTTCAACTGACATTTTTTAATTATGTTTATACGAATGAACACATCCAAATAAATATTTATTAATCCACTTATTCTCCTTATCACTAATCTATTTTCTCTTTTCATGGGGTGGGGGAGGCATCAGCCCAAATAAAAAGAGGAGGTAATATAGTAATATAGCAAAAGAAGGTAATGGGTGAAAAGATAATGAATGAACGTTTATTGTTTATTCACAATGAATAAATGCTCAATCATTAGTTATACCTCTGACACTATTTAGAGAGGACAGTTGAAAGTGAGCGACATTACATGGTAAACAGTAAGTAACATTGGTTACTTTCAACCAACGGTGCCCACTGGCTTTATCATTACAAATAAACAAGCACTGCCACTTTTCAGTAGTTATCCACACCAGTACTCCACAACTTTTCAAGACCAGATAATACAGTACAACAGCCACTGTCCTTCCCTGACTCACTTTACTCTAAATTTTGAGAAGACAAATACCTCTTTCATCAATCACACATCTCAAATAATTCAAGAGATTACGCAGACTATTATCAAGTCATAATAATGGTCCAGAAAGGACCAAAACATCGTCGTTTCTCCATTTTCAGATGTGTGGTTTGGTTATTATACCTTCAGCCATGTTATTGTGACTCATTGTCTGCAAGCGAAGAGATTCCCTGATTTCTGCACTTCACATACATGAGTTCCTTCTCTCTCCACCACCACCACCAGAACTTTACTTTTGCCCACATTTACTTTGAATAGGGTTCTCACATACACCTTCATCCCTAGTTCAACTAGTCTTGCACTCTATGATATAACAACTATCATTCTTTACTAAATCATCATGTACATATGACCCACAAAGGTGATATCACACAACCCTGGTTTATACCTATATTAAATATAAAATCAGGCATTTATTATATATCATTAACTCTTATACATGCACTGCTTCCCATAAAGAAAAAATTTCACAGCATTTAAAAGAACTCGGTCAACTCTATACCCATAATTCTCCAACTTTATCATATGCTATTAAATAGCCCATAATGGTCATGTATACCTTGCTACATTAATAATTATAAGTATGGAAAACATCCTAAGTTAACTAGTGGTGTAGTGGGCATCTTAGATAATCAAATTATACATTTAAAATGCAAAAAAAACAGCAATGAATGTTATGAAACGCCATTTTCTGGGTGAGACCCGGTGGCTCCCCGGAGCTATATCAGGCTGATATGCTAAAAATGTCAGACTTTGGCATCAGTCATGTGTATGGAGTTCTTAGGGCCTACCGGGGACCACGGCCAGAACCTGGCCCTTAAATATATAAATATATTTATATAAATATAGGTATATAAATATATCCGTATCCAGCGCCTGACCGAAAGAGACGCCAGACCGCAGAAACTCACCTGTCGAACGTAGGCACGAACGTGTCACGACACAACGTTGCTGATAAGAACCCGGGAGCACTGCCAGGGGAAAAGGCCAGAGCCGCACATGCAGGAGAGCAGGGTAGAGGCGAAGGGGGCGCCCCACACCCATGACACAGGGAAAACCCCGGTGTCCTCCAAATAGCTGCAATCAAGAACACCCCAGGAGCTACGGGGCATGGACATGAGAATGGAAAAGAGCAAGAGGTGAAGCACCCGAGAAAAAAGGACGCAAAACACCAGCACTGGTGCACACCGCCAGACCAAAACAAACCCCAACGGCGCATGTGCACGCCGTCCAAACCGCACAATCTGCTCTGCGGGAAGCCGCCAACTAGGAACACTTTACAAGAATAGTAGCCAAACAGAACGTGACCCGAGTGAACTGCTAAAGAGAGGAAACAGCCCATTACATGGGACAGGAGTCAAAAGAAGAGTAAGCAGCGACAACATAACCGGCTTACGAATGGAAGACAAGGAACCCAATCGGGAACCCAATTGGGCTACAAGTAGCCCAATCCGGCATCCCGGACTAGGAGTAAGCAAAGAAAACGAGTAGTGCCGAGAAAAGACAGCACAAAAGAACGAGACAGGACCGAAGATCAAGCACAGAAAAGGACCAACAAGCCCTAGAACGGACCGGAGGGAAGCCACACTGAAAGACGACAGACGTTCCAATAATACGGGAAGTAGTGAAAACCTTCCTGAACCCTCGAAAACACAGAAGCATACAAGTCACGAAAGCACATAAATGCATAGTCGCACCCGAGACCAAAAGTCATGTAGAACCCCAAGAAGAGGGGAACATGACAGAGATACCCCTTCTCAAGAAAAAAGGGGAAATAACGGAGAACACCCACCTACAGGATGGAACCAACCGACTCAAAGGACAAGTAACTAAGCCCGGGGAGGGGCCAATGCCCAACAACTCGTACGGTGAGGGGGGAGGAAAAACCCCACTCCGCGTAACTGCAAGCCCCACCTAGAGGGTAGAAAAACCCCTGTGGGGTCCAACGGGGCCCTAGGCCCTCCAAATCAGCCCGTCCCCAGCTCAGATCACAAAGGACACGGGGCAAGAACGAAGGCAGACCCCCCACCAGGCAGATAAACAAAAAGAAAAAGAAAACCCCGCAAGAGGACAGCGTACCCAGACGGAACAGAGCCGGCCGCAATGATTGGTGAAAACAAGCTGCACAGCACCCTGCGCCCCACCAGTGCAGTTCAGCTTTTGGTAACAATTTTAACCAGAATAGGGGTTTGTTTTTTGATGCTTACCTTTCTGGATGCTTGACCCGGTCGATGGCAGACACAGAATGCTTCCAACCATACGGGGGTTTCTATAGGCCATTGCTCCCCTTGCCTTTCTGAGGGGACCAGGTTCTGGCCGTGGTCCCCGGTAGACATTAAGAACTCCATACACATGACTGATGCCAAAGTCTGACATTAGCATATCAGCCTGATATAGCTCCATGGAGCCAACGGGGCTCCCCCCAGAAAATTAATCAAATTCAAATTGTAACAGGTATATATCCTCCAAGCAATATTGTATGAGTTACATCATTCATAATTATACAATTATTTGCAAATATAAATAAATAAAACTCAAAACCCTTCACATATGACTGCAGGCTATTTATATTATTTAATTTATGGCAGTCAGCTGCAGCAGAAAAAGAAGAGTTGCTACAGATACTAACAACATAACTTTGTTATCAGCTGCAAATACCATTTAACTAGGCTGGCTCAATACCTGGCAAATATCTTGTTTGAGATGTAACTTGGAGTTGAATATTTTACGATATACATCTATGCCAATCGGCTTTTTACCTTCTTGCGAGCACTTTTGCACGTAGTCCAAATGTAGTTTGTTGATGCTTGTTTCTTGTGAGTTGCAGGTTGCTGGTGTTGTAGGAGCATCAGCTTTATGAGGAACTGTGGAAAACAAATAAAACTTTTCACTGTTGACACAAAAAACCAGCGTTGAATGTATGAAGCACCGTTTTCTGGGTGAGCCCCGGAGGCTCCCTGGAACTTATCGGGCGAATGTATGTTATATTAGACCGGGACATTAGCTATGGAGTTCAGACCAACCAGGAACTAGCGCCAGAACCTGGCCCCTTCAGAGAGGTTTCAGGGAGCAACGGCCCTGGAAAACCCCTTTGTGGTTGGGGTTTTCCTTATCTGCCATCGACCGGGGTTAGGCACCCAGAAAGGTAGGCATAAAAAAACAATTCCCACATGGTAAAAAACTAAAACAAAAAACCAAAGAGAGGTAGAAACTCCCTACAATCCCAAGGAAACAAGCAAACATCACACTTTACTGCTGCGCCGATTGTCCGCGCAGCCCTCCCCGCCCCAAGAGGGGGGAGGGGGGGGGGAACCCCGCACCTCACCGCGCCAGCTGCCTAGCATCAGTTCGGAAGCTAAGCTTCAACCAATGCAAAAAAAACGCCAACCGGTGGGAGGGAGGGTTGCCAGGGAGCCTCCGGGGCTCACCCAGAAAATGGCGTTTCATTACATTCAACGCTGGTTTTCTGTGGTGAGTTCCTACGGCTCCCTGGAGCTTCATACCCAAAGAGAAGGAAAAGAAAGGGCTGACCCGGGAGGCGGCCACCACAAACTCCGCAACGCGAAGCCGAGACAACAGGCTACAACCTGCGACCCAAGGCAACAAGAACGCACAGGAGCAGACGCACGCATAAAGAACGGGTGCCCAGGAACCTGTGCGACCCTCAAATCCTCGCACCCGAAATGAGCCCTAGACGTCACCAACACAGCAGCAAAAGCTGCAAACATCCGAACAGCACGGGCGCAAGAATAGACCGCAGGCTGGAAGACCTAAAAACTCTGCGGACGACCTGGGAGACCCGAGCCCTGAAACAGGGAACCGGATCAACCCAAAGCACATCCCCAGACACGGTACGCAGGTAACGGCAAAAAGTGCAACCGGACAACACAAGATGTCACCCCCAGCCGAACCAATCAAGCATCAATAACCCAAGGACCCCCCCCCCCCAATAAGCAGCCGTCTCAACCGTCGCCAGAATGACGGAGAAAGGCTGCAAACGTACAAACCTACCACCAGTACCAAAGAGCAGAAACCTGAACCGAAGGAGCAAACAAGCACTCACTGAGGTGCTCAAACTTGGCCCCCAGGAATACCTGGACCACTGTCAATGCTTCATGCTACTCAAGTGTGCAGGAACGACAGAAAGAATGCCACGCCTCCAAACCAAAAACAGAACAGTCTGCCAGCCAGGATGATTCCGGAACCTCATACCGGATCCAGTAGGGAAACGAAGACCCAAACCTGAACGAAGACGGATCCATGAAAGAGGCGTAATCCGGGTCATGCAGGAGGGAAACCACAAAGGCCGCATGCACCACACGCCATTTTGGATGCGGGAAGCTGAAAACCTCCGGAAAGACGGTTCCGAAGCATTTGAAGGGACACGGACCCGAACCCCAGGGAGGGGCAGACACCAAATTCAACTCGTACACAGAGGGGGGGGGGAAAGGAAAACCCCTCTCCTCACAACAGCAAGCCCCGCTCAGAGGGCTGAAAAACCCCAGCGAGGTCCAACGGGGCCCAAGGCCCCCAAGTCAGCCCCTCCCCAGCCTCGGGATCCTTTGTATCTGGACCCAGAGCCGAGTCATCTCCCAAAGCTCCAGCCTCAAAAGAAAAGGCCGGCGCAGCCATAAAAGCCGGACGGAAAGGGGCCCACTGGTCAGACCCAGAGGCTTCGGCAAGGAGAGCAGACTCGAATGCCTCCGTCGCCACACCGGAAGGGGCATCCCCCAAGATTGCCCGAGTCACAAGACCATCTAAACCCTGCCCCGACTCGGAAACCCTCAAGATGGTTCGGAGCCGGAAGCAGGGGGAAAAAGGGACAGACCAAACCACAGGATGGGAAGGACGAGGGGGCACGGACAAAACCAAGGCCGAAGCGACGATCACCCCCCAAGTCCGGGTTACCTTGAGGTGCTTCCGGGGCTCAGCGTCCCCGCGGCCCAGTCGTCGACCAGGCCTCCTGGTTGCTGGACTGATCAACCAGGCTGTTGGACGAGGCTGCTCGCAGCCTGATGTATGAGTCACAGCCCGGTTGATCAGGTATAGGGTCCCTATAAGCAAAACGGGGTAGCCTCGGGGCATCCGGCGTAGCAACCAACCTAGCGCGTTTCAACAACCTAAACCTAACATGCAATGCTTGCGCTACCTGTACTTGAAGAATGTCATCACTAAACTGGGTAAACTGAGTCACCAGCAATCAACAAAACTCGCAGGACTCTGGGTCGAAGGCATCACTGACCCAACGGGCAGCGTGATGGAGGCAAAAACAATGAGAGTCACCCTGAGACAAGGGGACAGAGCAACCCTCAAACTCGCACAAAGCGAGGGGGGACTCAGGGGTCACATCCATCAGACCCACGCGCCCCCCTTGGGAATTCCCAGGGTCCTGAGACGGAACTCACACTCAGGGAAGCCCAGGCAGGGTACTGCTAACCGGCGCCCAAATCGACCAAACGACTCACTAAGAGTTGAACCCCCGGGACGAGTACACTCATAGGGACCGAGCAGGGGGTACCACTTGAAGAGAATGTAGTACCCAGAAACTGTACTCAGGGGGCAACCAAGGCAGGCCCCCCCCCCCACCAGGCAGGAAAATATAAAGAAAAAGAAAACCCTGAGAGAGGACAGCGTACTCGGGTGGAACAGAGCCGGCCTCTATGAATGGTGAAAACAAGCTGCGCAGCACCCTGCGCCCCATACCAGTGCAAACTGCCCCTTACCCTAAGGTAAACAAGGGAGACAAAACACTCCAGCACACAAAGAGCGGCCAAAAACCGAGCAGTAAATGGCCTAGTAGAGGCAGAACCCAAGGAACTTGTGGAAGGTGGGCCAAACCCCAAGGACAGTACTTACAGGGCACCTAGGGAACGGAGCCCTAGGCTCATGCAGCCCGAGTACTGAAGAATATCTCCTGACTAGCGCACCACCTAGAAGACAGTCACCACACACAAGGCACAGTGCTGAAACAACCACTGGAGCCAGAGTACACAACTGCTGCCTATAGCATCAGCCTCAAAACTGAGGGGTGGATGGCCGGCACGGGGGTCTAGGGAGGGGGAGGGGAGCTGTGCAGATGGCTGTGCGGCGACATATGACGTCATACTTGTTTGCTTATTTGTTTGGGGAGTTTTATCCACTTGTTTGGCTTTTTGTAGCAATTTTCACCAGAATAGGGGTTTGTTTTGGGACGCTTACCTTTCTGGGTGCCTAACCCGGTCGATGGCAGACATAGAATGCTTCCAATCACACGGGGGTTTCTATAGGCCATTGCTCCTCATGCCTCTGTGAGGGGGAGCCAGATTCTGGCTCGTGATCCCCAGTAGGCCCACAGAACTCCATACACATGACTGATGCCAAAGTCTGACATTAGCATATCAGCTTGGATAGCTCCAGGGAGCCAACGGGGCTCCAACCAGAAAATATTGAAAACATCCAAAAGAAAACACAAAATATAATAGTAAAATTCTGGCTCTATTCTTCTACAAAAAAAAAAACGACATTGAATGTAATAAAATGCCATTTTCTGGGTGAGCCCCGGAGGCTTCCCGGAGCTATCAGACTGATATTAGCTATATTAATCTGGAGCTTCAGTCGCATGGAGTTCTGCCTACCAAGAACCACGAGCCAGGACCTGGTTCCCTCAGAGAGGCGCAGGGAGCAATTGCCTATGAAAATTCCACTCTTTAAGAGTATATTCATGTCTGCTATCAACTGGGGTTAGGCACCCAGAAAGGTAGGCGCCCCAAAACAGACCCCAACTGGTAGAAAATTGCAATCCAAGACCGAAAAGAGCCCAAAAACTTCCCCCAATAGAATCAAGGCAACAAGCAAATCGTCATCAATCTGACGTGCCGCTTGAAAGGCTGGCTAGACTTGATAACCCTACAGACGACTTGTGAGACCGGAGCCCTGGAAGAGAGGACAAGGAAAATCAGATCAACCCAAAGCGCGTCCTCGGACACAGAACCCAAGGCGAGCAGGTAACAGCAGAGAGCCGCAACTGGACACAAAACATGATGCACCCCCGGGCCTGACCAACCAAGCATCAAGAACCCATGGACCCCTCAGGAAGCCTGCCATCTCATTCTTTGCCAGAAAAAAATTAAATGGCTGCAAACAAACAAAATGTCCACCCAGGACCGAAAGAGCAGAAACCCCTGCGCTGGAGGAGAGCATAAAGCTCGACCTAACACCCAGAAGCCAAAGCTAACAATATCAAAGCCTTCTGAAAACATTCTTAGACCGAAGGGGCCACCACTAATCAAGGAGAAGAGAGAAAAGAGATCACCCGATCCAAAGACCAGGACGGCTCAGGTGGAGCACGAGTAGGTCAGAGCTGGAAAATAAGCACGAGAAAGCTTATGGAACGGAACCAAAGTGCCATCCACCCCGAATGCCAGCTGGAGCAGCTCCGCCAGTGCCACATGATAAGAGGCGACAGTATTCGGCATAAAATGTCAGTCATGAAATAACCAAGAAGGAAAGACAAAACAACATGGACAGAAACAGAATGCAACCAACGAAGAGAAAGGAAGTGGCAAAAGGAACACCAAGAGACTTCATACTGTCGCTGAGAAGAAGACTGCAGGTGGGACACCATGAGAGAAGCCATCTGATCACCATACAAGTGGTGATACACACCCGTAAAAAATACCAGACATGAAGAGCAGAACAGTAGATTGAACCAGCAAGGTACCTCACCAACCCGATCTGCTAAAAGAGGTAGAGCCACGGAAAACGGCCACCAAGGGGCCAGAAAGAAAAACCTTCCCGATAGGACTCCAGCCGAGCCAGAATCCGAAGCAACAGCTGGACCAGGGGGTGAGAGGTACAGGTACCCCCACCTCAACCAGTCCTGCCGAAAAGCGTCGACCGTGACGTCTTCGCAGTCGGAGAAGGGCGCCACATATACTGGGAGATGCCTCGATCATGCCGACACAAAGAGGTCCACCTCCCGGAGCTCGAACAACCAGTAAGGCCAACAGAAGGAGTCACTGTCGACTGTCTATTCCATAAACAGAGGAATTAATCAAGACAGGCCATCCACCAGAACATTGGACATGCTCTTGATGTTAACCCACACAGGGAGCTAAACCCCAAGAACTTAGGAAAACAACCACTCGAAGCGACCAGCCCCAAAGAGCCAAGGACCGAAGAGACCCCCCCCCTCGTGGTTCAGGTAATGAACCACTGGGGGTGCAGTCCGAATGGAGCCGGATAGTAAAGCCTTGAGCAAAGAGTGGAGTTTTCATAGCCCATTAATCCCTGCGCCTCTGAGGGAACCAGATTTTGGTTCATGGTTTCCGGTAGGCAGAACTCCATGTGACTGAAGCCCCAAACTAATATAGCTAATATCAGTCCAATAGCTCCGGGGAGTCGACGGGGCTCCCCTCAGAAAATAACATTAATGGTAACCCCTGTTAGCTGTCTACAAGTCAGGATATGTACCATACCTGTTGATTCCAGCACAGATGACTGGATATGCTTAAAAGCATACTCAAGGTCTATCTCTGGGGTTTTATTGGCTGGAGATTTGATGAAACAGTTGAATCTGAAAGTCAGAAGACTGATGAGTTTGATCACTTGATCATAACAAATGAGCTATTTTTTTTAATCGTTGTTCTATCTACTAACCATACATTCTTACCCAAAAAAGAAACAAAATACACGAAGAAATAAACTGAACTGTACCAGAACAATGATAATCTTTGATACCTTGCTCTGCTGGTCACTTTGGAAACCTCCTCTCTGTGGTGTGGGGTGGGCAGCTTTCTTTTGTGTAGGTGGTGGGCAGCTCCATTTTGTGTAGATGGTGGGCAGCTCCTTTTTGTGCAGGTGGTGGGAAGCTCCCTTTTGTGTAGGTAGTGGGCAGCTGCCTTTTGTGTAGGTGGTGTGTTCTCTCATGCATAATGAACACTTCTTCAGTGGAAGGACACTCATATCCATAGAGATTAAGCATCTCCCCACTGCAGAAAGAGACGAGCATCTTCCCAGCGCAGAAATATATGGCATTTTTCTTTGCAGAGCAAGATGTACATCTGCCCTTTGAAGAGGGGGAAGGGCTTCTTCCCTTTGTAAAGGGGTATGGACAACTCTACTTCATAGAGGGGATGGGCAACTTCGCCTTGCTAGTTTTCCCGCTGGTTCAGGTTTGGCTTCGGAGGCTATTCTGGTTCCTTCAGGGCAGTCCCTTCCGCAGCTCTCGTGATCACTGGGGTGTCCAACGTCCTGGCAGATAGCCTGTCTCAGTTCATTCCTCTGCCCATGGAGTGGATTGACAACGCAGACTCCTTCAGTTGGGTTTGCTGGACATTCAGGCACCTGGAAGTGGACCTCTTTTCGTGGACTTGGTCTCAGCATCTCCCAGTCTATGTGGCACCCTTCCCCGACTGCAAAACCTTTGCAGTAGACACTTTTCGGGAGGATTGGTCGAGGTGGGGGTTCATCTACCTCTTTCCACCGGTCCAGCTGTTGCTTCGGGTTCTGGCTCGGCTCGAATTCTTTCAGGGGAGGGTGGTTCGCCTGGTTCTCCTGACTCCATGGTGGCCGGCCCAGCCTTGGTTTCAGGCACTGCTTGCTCAGTGTCCAAACCCGAGAATTTTTCTGCAGCTCCACCTCTTTTAGCAGGTCAAGCCAGTGAGGTACCTTGCTGGTTTGCCCTACTCTTCCGCTCTTTGCGTTTGGTATTTTTGACGCGAGTGTATCACCACTTGTATGGTGATCAGGTGGCTTCTCTGATGGTGTTTCACCTGCAGTCTTCCTCTCAGCGACAGTATGATGTCTCTTGGCATTCTTTTCGCCATTTCCTTTCCCTTCGTAGGTTGTCATCCATTTCTGATTAGGTTGTTTTGTCACTTCTCTCTTGGCTTTTTAGGACTAGCATCTTATGCCGAATACTGTTGCTTCTTATCGTGCAGCATTGGCAGAGCCTCTCCAGTTTGCGTTCTGGGTGGATGTCCCTTTTGCTCCATTCTGCAAGCTCTCTCATGCAAATGAACAAATCCACAAGGGCCGTGATGAGAGTTCGAACCTACGTCCGGGATGATCCCAGATGCGCCTTAGTCTCTCTCTTGCGTTTTTTCACCTACGGCCTGCTCATGTGCCACCTGAGCCGTCCTGGTCTTTGGATCGGGTGCTCTCTTTTCTTTCTTCTCCTCAGTTTGTTGTGGCCCCTTTGGTTCAGAATTGCTTCAGGAAGGCTTTGTTTTTGTTGCCTTTGGCCTCTGGGGGTCGGGTTGGAGAGCTTCATGCTCTTCTCCAGCACAGAGGTTTCTGCTCCTTTGGACCTGGGGACTGTTTTGTTCATTAACAGCCATCTCCTTTTTTTCTGCTGAAAAATGAGACGGCAGGCTTTCGGAGGGGTCTGTGGGTTAATGATGCTTAGTTGGTCAGGCCGGGGATGCATCATGTTTTGTCTGGATGCGGCTCTCCGCCGTTATCTGCGCACCTCGGGGTCTGTATTCGTAGATGCGCTGTGAGTGGATCCGGTTTTCCGGATCTTTTCCACCGGCCACATGTACGCAAATTCTCCACGACCAAGGCAGCCGAAAGGGAAGGAACCTGCACATGAAGCTGCATCACACCATCATCCCGCAGACGGGCAGGGGGCAAACAAACATGCATCAAGATGCTCAAATTCGCCCTCCTGGAAAACCTGCAACGCCGTCTGAGCCACCTTCCACTGAAGCACACAGTACCGACAACGTGTGCCAAGTCTACAACAAGAAGAGCAAGCAGTATGCCAACCAGGATGACTCTGGAACTTCATAATGACCCCAGTACTGACAAAGATCCATACACGAAGGAACGCAGATCCATCACGAAAGCATAATCCAGGTCGCGCAGGAGGTAAGCCACAAGGGTTTCCCACACCACATGTAACGGGAAGTGGGAAGCCAAAAACCTCTGGAAGGACGGGTCCGAGGAACCCACGGAATCACGGAATAAAACCCGAGGAGGGGTAGATGCCAAATCAAATTCGTACGAGGAGGGAGCGAAAGAGAACCCTCTCCTTGTAACACCAAGCCCCGCTCCGATGGTACCAAAACCCAGGCAGGGTCCAACGGGGCCCAAGGCCCCCAAGTCAACCCCTCCCCTGCCCCAGGAACCTCACCCAGGGGCCAAGCCGTCTTCTGAACCCCCCACCCCTAAAGAAAAGGCAGGAGCAGCCGAAAAAGCAGGAACGAAGGGGGGCTTACTGGTCAGACCCAGAAGCTCCGGCTGGAGGACTAGGCTCGAATGCCTCCGCCGCAACTCTGGAAAGGGATTTCCCTGAGACCGAGTCTCAACACCAACTAAACCCTGCCCCGCCTTCGAAATCCTCAGACGTTTCGGAGCCAGCAGCAAGGGGGGAGGGGGGGGAAGGGGAACCAAATGAACCACCAAAGAATTCATTCAAGGAGGGGACAAGGAGGGGTGGACAGAACCAAAGACAAAGTGACTCCCACCCCTAAGTCTGGGTCCCTATAACCAAAACGGGGCAGCCTTTGGGCATCTGGGGAAGCAACGACCCTATCACGTTGCAGCAACCTAAACGCGCATGTGATGCCTCTGCTGCCTGCACCCTCATATCATGTTCAGTAGCTTGGGTGAAGTGGAGCACATACAAGGAACAAACATCGCACGACTCCGGGTCAAAAGAATCACCGACCCGACAGGCAGCATGGCGGAGGCACAACTGGTGATTGTCACCCTGAGACAAGGGGACAGAGCAACCATCAACCATCTGGTAGGGCCTGTGTTGCATTGGTTCAGCGGTTGCAGCCAGTTGTCTCGACTTCGCGTTGAGGAGTGAGGACTGACCGCCTCCCAGGTAAGTCCCTGTGTTTTTCCTTGTCTTTGGGATGTTAGTTCCGGGGAGCCGATGGGGCTCCCCCCCCCCCCCCGAAAACTAATATAGAATGTAATGAAATGCCATTCTCTGGGTGAGACCCGGAGGCTTCCTGGCATCCCTCCCTCCCTCCGGTCGGCGGTGTTTTCGCATGTTTTGTTTTGACATCCTGCTTAAGAACTACCGGTTGGATCGCCTGCACGAGGGTCTGGGAGCTTCCCCCTCCTGGGGACGGGGGTGGGGGAGGGTTGTGCAGACAGTGGCACAGCAACATGATGACTTCATGCTCATTTGCTAATTTTCATTGGGTTTCTATAGGCCATTGCTCCTCGCGCCTCTCTGAGGGGGCCAGGTTCTGGCTTGTGGTCTCCAGTAGGCAAGAACTCCATGCACTTTGACTGATGCCAGAAAGCTAATAGGTACATATCAGCCTGGATAGCTGGGGAGCCTCCGAGTCTCACCAAGAAAATGGCGTTTCATTACATTCAACGCTGTTTTTTCACTTAAATAAATTACAAATTTTAATAATGAATATAATTATTCCACTATACTACCTAATAAAGATTTTACAAGAGGGAGAGGATGGTGAAGTACAATACAGACAGGGACTAAATGACCCACAAAATAATACGTGGACAAAATTTACTCATCTAAGGGTGTAACTTTTAGAACCCAATATGTTACATGGAAAAAAGTATTCTCCCCTTCCCTTTTCCTACAACATAATTTTACTATTACAGTACAAACTTTAAGCTACAATGCAATTCCAATGAACTTAAAACATTTATCATAATTTAATATCAAACCTCATAACAGTTACATTTTCCAGAATCAGTACTGTACCTTTCTTTCAAAATTTTCCTGTAGACAAAGCTGCCAATGGGAGCCCTGTCATCTGTGACACACTGCTCCTTGTACATGCGGTACATCTTCTCCACGTTGAGATCATGAGGCAGAGTGCACCTGCCATCACTTCTGGTTTCACTGCTGTCGTACCCAATGGGAAATGTTTTGATATGAGAGCAAGCATAGCTTATGTCCTCTTCTCTTGTCTTGTTCTTAGGGGAATGGTGCCCTCGTCTGTCCTATAAACAAAAAATTATTAAATGGTTACTGAACTAAAAGAAATTCTTATCCTCCTCAGATGCCCAACCACTTGAGCTCTACGGTGGCTTTATGCAGATCAGCATTCAGTCCAAGGGGTTAGCTACCATTCCTTCCCTCCATCCTATCCCAAATCCTTATCCTGGTCTCTTCCAAGTGTTATATAGTTGTAATGGCTTGGTGCTTTCCTCTTGATAGTTCCCTTCCCTTTCCTTGCTCATCAGATCCAAGAGACACAGACTTTAAGTGTACAGGTACAAACCCACAGTCTGACCACCTATGGACCAACAGTGGCTGAACAGGGCATTATACTGGAGGGGTTAATCCCACATCGTGAGAATGAGCCAAGTGTACTACAAGACCCCCCAAAGAAAGTTAAATCTTATGTTATGGGTGAATCAAGTAGAAAACTCAGACCAGAATGATCTTTCTAAAAATGTGTAAAAATATTTGAGTAACTTGCGATCACAGTGCAAGGTAGACATAATACTGTTCTCTTTACTGAGAACAGGAAGACTATTATGAAAAACATAATTTTCCACTAACCTTAAGAGCAAATGGGGATTGACAGGCCACAGCTTGAAGCACACGGTCCACCCGACCATTTGATATCCCATGAAGCTGAAGAAAAGCCATCTTGCAGACTCGAACCAGCTCCCCACCTGGCTAAGAATTAAGTAACACTAAGTATATACCAAAGTCATCTTCAACAACAATATAAAAAAATTGCTACTGTTTTATTTTGATATAAGTACTGGGTGTTTGTCTGATGTCTTATTTGGTTGCATGCCAACATTATCCCACTTAACTCAAAGATACATCTGTACAGTACTTACGCTTATAGAGGTCCCTTTAGCCTTCTGACTTTCCTTCCTGAACGAAGGTCAGTGGTTGCATCCTGTTGTAAGATTGTATCCTACAACAGGATGCAATCCACAACAGTTGCCTAACTCCTACACACAGGAACCTAATTTACTGCTGTGTGAACAGAAGCATCAGGTGAAAGGAAATGTACTCGACCATTTTTCTCCTGCTCAGAGATTGAACATTGGTCCCTCAATTGTGAGTTGAGGACATAGACCACTGTGCTACAGGACCCAGTGTGAGGGGGAATAGGGCAAGCTAATGAGGAGCATGGAGGCATCCCATTTTGTCTGCCTTAGAGGAAGATACCTCAAAAGTGACATGTGCATAATTATTTACAGTACTCTATAAGAATTTATGTCAATGATTAACCCCGCAATATGCTGTATTCACCAATAATTTTGTTTACAATACTTAGACATGACAGTCTAGAAAGGTGGGATCCAAGAGCTAATAGCTCGATTCTGCAGGCACAAAAAAAGTAAATACTAAGCTATGTTTAATACTAAACCTAAGTTAACTCAATTTAATCATCAGTCTAAAATAATTTTTGAATGTTTGAAAAAGGAGTTACTTTCAAGGGTGAGACAAAGCAATTGCAAAATGATAAAGATGGGAAACAATGGTCATTAAGACAACATCTTTCAAAGGAAGACAGAGAGAAAATCAAACTAAACCTTGCTGAAGCAAAATACACATAGTGGCCACCCCTACCAACATGACAAATCATGCAGATGTTGCCACACAGTATATATAAGTATCTACATTTGTGTTCACCATAACGAACCACTAAGTTGGTATGCTGAGTGGCAGTGGCAGTGGCAGCCAGTGGTAGCCCACCACTGGGCTGCCACTCCCTCCCTCCCTCACCTCACCTGACCCGCCACCATTCTCCTCCCACCATACTGTTTTTACTTTTAAATACAGACAATATATACAAGTATCTGCATGTTTTGTATACAATAGCGAACAACTAAGCTGGTATAGTGAGTCCAGACAGTAAAAGGTGGTCAGACAGATTGGTTGCGGCAACTGGGGCCGCAACCAATCTAGTGAGTTGCAGCAACCTTAATCTAGCATGCAATGCAGCAGCTGCGTGCACCCGGTCGGTTTAGGGAGCCGGTCGGCCGAGCGGACAGCACGCTGGACTTGTGATCCTGTGGTCCTGGGTTCAATCCCAGGTGCCGGCAAGAAACAATGGGCAAAGTTTCTTTCATCCTATGCCCCTGTTACCTAACAGTAAAATAGGCACCGGAGTGTTAGTCAGCTGTCACGGGCTGCTTCCTGGGGGTGGAGGCCTGGTCGAGGACCGGGCCGTGGGGACACTAAAGCCCCAAAATCATCTCAAGATAACCTCAATATAACCCTCATATCAGTATCAGTAGGTTGGGTGAACTCAGGCAACAAACATCGCACGACTCTGGGTCAAATAAATCACCGCCCCACCAACAGGAAGCATGGCGGAGGCACAACCGGTGATTGTCACCCTGAGATAAGGGGACAGAGCAATCTTCAAACTCGCACGTAGCAAGAGGGAACCCAAGGGTCACATCCATCGCTCCATCCACAGTGGCCCTGTGGAAAACCACATAGCCCCTGTGTGGTTTTCCAGGGCTCTTAGCCTAATTAACACGCTAAGGCAAGCCCAGGCAGGGTACTGCAAACTGGCGCCCAAAACTACGAAACAATCTGCCAAAAGCTGAACCCCCGGGATGCGTCCACTCACGGGGGCCAAGCGGGGGACTCCACCAACCACAGAACAGAAGATATAGATAGACACCCCCCAACAGCTAAGGGGAATTGTCACCCTGAGACAAGGGGACAGAGCAATCTTCAAACTCGCACGTAGCAAGAGGGGACCCAAGGGTCACATCCATCGCTCCATCCACAGTGGCCCTGTGGAAAACCACATAGCCCCTGTGTGGTTTTCCAGGGCTCTTAGCCTAATTAACACGCTAAGGCAAGCCCAGGCAGGGTACTGCAAACCGGCGCCCAAAACTACGAAACAATCTGCCAAAAGCTGAACCCCCGGGATGCGTCCACTCACGGGGGCCAAGCGGGGGACTCCACCAACCACAGAACAGAAGATATAGATAGACACCCCCCAACAGCTAAGGGGAACCACGAAGGCAAACCACCCATCAGGCAGAACAAAAAACAAAAGAAAAACCCTGCAAGAGGACAACGTACCCAGGCGAAACAGAGCCGGCCGCTATAATTTTTGAAAACTAGCTGTGCAGTACCCCGTGCCTCTACCAGTGACGAAAACTACCCCCCTACTCAGGGACACACTAGGGCAAGAAAACCCCAGCAGACCCAAGGGCAGCCAAGTACCGTGCAGTAAAAGGCACAGCAAAGGCAGGTCTCAAGGTGACTTGTGGAAGGTGGCCCCATGCCCCAAGGGCAGTACTTACTGGGCACCTAGGGAAGGAAGCCCTAGGCGCATGTAGCAGAGTACCGTGGAATATTACTCCTGGCTCACACACCTGGAGAGACAGCCCACGTCACTAGACACAGAACCGAGACAAAATTTCTGGAACCAGAGGCACAGACTTTCCCAGAATCGCATCAGCCAAGAACTGAAGGTTGGGTCACCTGTGCAAGGGTCTGGGGCTCTTCCTTTCCCCTCCCGGGGAAGAGGTGGGGGGGGGAAGTTGAGCAGACAGCGGAGCGAAAACATGATGACGTCATGCTCGCTTGCTAATTTTAGTTTGGGGAGTTCTGTCCACTCGTTCGGCTTTCGGTAGCAATAGTTTCACTAGAATAGGGGTTAGTTTTGGGGTACCTACCTTTCTGGGTGCCTGTTCCAGTCGATGGCAGACATAGAATGTCCCCAACCACAAAGGGGGTTTCTATAGGCCATTGCTCCTCATGCCTCTCTGAGGGGGAGGAGCAATGGTCCCCAATAGGCAAGAACTACAAGCACATTCACTGATGCCAGAAAGTTATACATATCCATTCAGCCTGGATAGCACCAGGGAGCTGATAGGGCTCCCCCCAGAAAAAGGGGATTTATATGCTATTATTAACTGCAGGTCAGGTCATTAATGTCAAAACTGTCACGGTGCCTTTTATGAGGTAGCCTTTTTTCAAACATTTTAATTACATTTTTGGATTCCTGACTCTTCATTCACCCTTTCTTATATTTCTGATTAACTAATCTTTTCACAAACCTTTTACTCTCATTATACTCCCATTTTCTCTCCTCTGTCCCATTACATTCTATATATACAATACATTATTCACATCATATAAATCACATTACCTTTAACTGAACATTGTAAATCCTTGTGTAAGTCCGTGTAAACTTCTCTATCACCTTCTCATCTTTCTGTATTATAGGAACTAGCATTACCTTTTGTGCAATGTCCATGTTCTGCTTGGTAAAGTCTGCCAACTTCCAAAAACTATTAAATATCCTTTTCCTACTCTCCTCTGTACCCATTTCAGGAATGCACTTATATTTACACCCACATTCCTTGTCATCATAAAATTTTTCTTTCTTAAGTTTCCCTGATGCAGTCAAATATGCTGCCCCACTATTTCTCTTCACCTTTCTCTCCTCACGTGACATTATTTTTCTGTGACCTCCAGCTCTCTTCTTCCTACTGATATTTGATGTCACATTTCCAATGTCCATCCTTTGTTCTTGTATTTCTGAAGTGCCATGACACACATTCAAGTCATTATTTGTTACAGGTTTAGGATCAATATTTGACACTATCTGATTCTGGGAATGTATAATACCTCTATTCTCCAAAACCTCACAATTCTTCTCACTATTTTCCAGATTAATTTGTGATTTTTCTATGTGACGATACACCCAGAGGCTAACTGGTGTCCTCCTCTCCTCCTGACATACTCTCTTGTATAATTCATACATCTTCTTAACTGATAATTCTTTTCTTACAGTTCCTACAACCTCAGTCAAAATGTGACCCTGGGGCATGCCTTGATGCTGGTTACCGGAGAGGGTGCAGTGTGTCTCGTCTCTGGTCTGTTTTGTGGAAGAGATGTGTTGAATTACGAAAGCAACATCTTCCTCGGAGGTCTTGTTACTTGGAGTGTGATGCCCACGTCGATCCTGTACAGAAGACAAGGAATTTATATATTACAAAAATCATAGTGCAACAGTTAATATATTGGAATAAAGCTCGTTGAAATTTAGACAGCAATAATTCTCTATCTCAATGTTTCATGTTTTATTTGTTACATTTATATTTTAGTATTGATCTCAAATGTCAAAAATAAACTTTCAGAATTGCTGAATTATGTACATACATTCACTTTATAATTACCATGAATTGCTATTCCTATCAACACCTGTCCTTTGAACAACATTTAGTCTATTTACTCCCAGATTATGTTTCAATATCATAATTCACCAAACTGCACATGAAACAGAAGTAAGCAGTGTGGGTGATCACCTGGAGTGCTGGTGGATGTTCACAATTGATGGCCTGCAGAACACGATCAAGTCGGCCATTGGATACCCCATGAAGATTCAAAAACATGGTTTTACAAACACGAGTCTGCTTTCCACAGTTCTGAAATGTAACATACGTTACAAGCATGGTTTATGAGCTATTTCACTCAGTTTTACCTTAAGGCAAGAACCTTCTGGCCCCAGGAGAGGTCTATGCTTAGTCAAGTCAGGTTGACAATCTGAACTGGTGCAGTAGGAATCTTTTGTTTAAGCTGTCCATGCAGGGTCATACTTGTGCCAGGGAGACACTGAAGAATATTCAATCAGCTGAAACTAACTGACAGAACATACAAGAAAAACTCAAAGCTCTTCCACAAACCATCAATCAGTGCTCTCACAAATTTTTGGTTACCCCTGCCAGGCCACTACCCCTTAACACAAGTAGGACGTAGCACTTGACAATAACACAGGGGTCACCCCTAACTCTGCCTCCCTCACAATCTGACTCGCCCACAAAATGGTTCCTAGGCAGGCAAGAGACTGCACAATGAAACTTGGGTTTCATTGTGCTTGCACTATTAGTTTGTACTCATTGTGTACTTGGCTCACACTATTAGTGGGTACTCATTGTGTGTACATGGCTCACACTATTAATGAGTACTCATAATGTGTACTTGGCTCACACTATTAGTGGGTACTCATCGTATGTACTTGGCTCACACTATTAGTGGGTATTCATCTGTTGTACTTGGCTCACACTATTAGTGGGTACTCATCGTGTGTACTTGGCTCACACTATTAGTGGGTACTCACTGTGTGTACCACTATTGTGTAACCACTTGGGCTGGACAGTAGAGCAACGATCTCACTTCATGCAGCTTGATGTTCAATCCCCGACTGTCCAAGTGTTTGGGCACCACTCCTTCCTCCCTGTCCCATCTCAAATCCTTATCCTGACCCCTTTCAGGTGCTATATAGTCATAATGGCTTGGAGCCTTCCCCTGATAATTCCCTTCCTCATCGTGTGTATGTATGTACAGTAAGTCATTTGTCTCTTTTAATATTTAACAACTGGGTTTTGAGAAGTATTCTCTCTGTTCTGGTTTGAGTCATGTCTTTTACAACAATATATATTCTTTTGATTGTCCCACTAGCCAACATTTGCAATTCTATGGCACTTGGTATCTTGGACTCAAGTGTTTGTGGTGCTGCACAAGGTACAGTCAGTCACATTAAGATGCACCACCACTTGAAAAGTATTCTATTTGCCTTCAGTCACACCTTAGCAATGCTGATGTGGCTTTATTTATTAATTAATGTATTTTTTTTTATTATTCATTTACAGGCATTCTTTGGGGCAGAAGTCGTACCTGCACATGACTATTAAATTTCCTCCCTGTATTTGTACACTGAACCGTCCAGCATTGGGTTGAAGCCTGTTTAATGTACCTGTAGTACTGTATACAAAAATACACACTTGCTTCAGCAGTACATATACAGTAGATTAAAAACTTGATAAAAACATGCTCATGAAGCAAATATTGTAATGTAATACACTAACAAAAGAAGGCCAACTTTGTTTAGTCAGTTTAAATCTATCACCTCCTGTTCTTGAAGTTCCAGGTCTCAGGAATTTTTCCCTATAAATTTTATTGATTCCCGTTACTATTGTGTACGTAGTGATCATATCACCTCTTTTTTCGTATATCTTCTAGTTTGGCATATTTAATGCCTCTAACCTCTCCTCGTAGCTATTGACCTTCAGTTCCAGGAACCATTTACTGTAGTTGCATGTCTTTGCACCTCTTCCAGTTTGTTGATGTGCTTCTTAAGATATGGGCACTATACAACTGCTGCATATCAGCTTTGATCTAACAAAGGTTGTGAAAAATTTCTTTAGTATTTCACCATCCATGTATTTAAAAGCAATTCTGAAATTGGAAAGTGAAGCATAGGCTCATTGCACGATGATCTTTATGTAGTCCTCAGGTGATAGCTTTCTATCTAGATCCACTCTAGATCTCTTTCTTTATCTTTCTTCAGTGTGAAGCAATCTCAGTGTTATAGCTACATTGAGCCACTAGGGATTTACCAGAAATAGGCATTTCATTACATTCAACACTGGATTTTTTAGTGATCAAATTCACCTATGAAATATCTCAGAAACCTGTTCCCATTAATTAAGAAGTATGGTTTCATAATAATTTTCATAATAAAAACTCTGGGACTTCCACCAACCTAAGCTTACTTGTATTGGTATTTCAATATTAATGCAGCAAAATATATACTGTATTTATGTAGGACGATAAGGATTTTTTTATATAAATAATTGTTCACCATGCCAAGGCATCACATATAATGAAGGTTAACCCCTTTTTAACTGGACATGATACAGTTAATAGGAATGGAGAACCATAAATGTTCATGTTTGGATAATCCGAGAATCAAGATAATGGATGTTCCACTCGATGTTCCACCCATGGAGATGATTGAAAGGTTCCCTGTGCGGTCAGTGCAGAGTGTTGACATTCCTAACTGTTCATAATCCTGACTAAGGGACTCAAGAAGGTTGTTACCTCAAGAAGCAATCAAGAAAGATAGTTCAGAAATATTCAATTTACAACTATTTTTTCAGTGATGTAGAAATACACAAAACTATAGCAGCATTTAAAATTTGTGTACTGTATTTAAAATAATTTCATAATTCAAAGAATACTTACTGACTGCCTGACATAATAAAGTCTTCGTACAGTTTTCAAGTGCTTATCATCCAGTAATGCAGCTTTTCGTCTTTTCATGACATTTGGTACAAGAATAACGTTTTCTGTGAGGTAAGCATTTTGCTGTCCAAAGTCACCAATGCTCCAAAACTGCTTAAATATATTCTCTCTATCTTCTACTGTTCCAAGTTTGGATAGACATTTATTCTTGCACTCGCAATCTCGCTCTACATATTTCTTAGCTTCTACAAATTTCCCTGCAACATTGATGTAAGATTCCCCCCGATTTCTACGTCTCTTGCGAGTAAATTTAGCACTGATGCCCTCTTTCTTGGCTTTCTTCTTTTTACCTCTATCTTCAGTATTTCCTTCTGCATATTTTATTACAATTGACTGTCCTGTTTGTTCTCTTGGTACAGAAAAAGTACAATTGAGAGGTAATGATGAGCTCACTGCCTGAAGGGAAATAGAAGAGTTACCATATTTTATATGAGCCTGTGGATTTATGGGCTGTGAAGGTGCTGCTTGTGGGTGATGGGTGTGTAAGGACTGTGCTCGCACATTCATACTTGGGGCTTCATAGGAAAAATATTGAACCTGTTGGGGTGGCATCTGTGGCGCAATGTGAGTAACTGTCATGTTGTTAAACACGGCATGATATGACTGCACTGGTGCTGACTGGGGATGGTGAGTATAACCCATTGTAACCATTCCTGAGGTTCCAGCAATGTGTCCTGCTGGTGTGGCGACATCTTGTACTGTTACGGTGTGTGCTATGGGTGCTATGGTGGTCCCTCCAAAACTTGCTATGTTACCAACAGTGCTTATATTACTATATCCATGTAGCTGATGTTGAAAGGTGTTATAATTTGCAACATCCACTGCTTGGCCAAGTATATGTGATAAGTTAAACTGAGTTTGGTGATCCATTCTTGGTAATTCCTGCTCATCAAAAGTAAATTATGCACCAACATCACAAGGAAATGATTTTTTTGGGTCCAAACTATTTCAAGTATTAATGAAGTAATTTGTCAAACAGATTATACTGAATTTCCTCCATCAGGAGTCAAATACATAAATGAAAGACAAACTGCTAATTTTTCTTCATTATTTGCAAGAATTCTTGAAGTGTACAGTAGCTCCAGGTTATTAAGTCCCATAGCAATATAAAATGTTTGCTTATCAAGATACTATAACATATAACTACAGTAGTACTGCATTTCAATTTTTTTCAATATCAATAAAGATTTTATTGTCTAACACATACAGAGTGTCTCTTTATTCATTCAGATGTTATATCAGCAAATTGTTCTTCAAGTTCATGTGAAGACCCTGGAAAAAAAAATAAGATGTGTTTTATTATAGAGAGTACTTGACCTAGGTTAGATAAGATTTTTAATTTAGAACAAAACAGGTCTATAGAACAAAATCTCACCTCACCTAGGCTAATCTTACAGAAATTACATATCATCATTAGAACTAAAATTAACTAGTATTTACTGTGCCAAATAAATACAAATGTTGTGTTCAATATTTGTTACAATATATGGAATTCATTACCTAATAAAGTATATAATTGTTCAAGCTGTACTTTATTCAAAAGTAAAACAACACTATATCTAATTTTCTCAGTAAAGTACTGTACCCCACTTTGTACTAACTCACCTAGTACTATAAGTAGTACAGTACCTAGAAATAACTCAAAAATTATTTCTCATTAATACCACCTTACCCTATTACTTAAGGTATAGAGTATACAATAATTATTTTGACAACACAAATTACACCATAACCATCATTTTAAATACCTTATTAATATTAATACAGTAATTATGTAAACTTTCAAATTTCTCATTGTATACCTGTCACTAGTTATATTCATTAAGAGTGACTGTTCATCTTGTAATTTTAAATTCACTGCAAGTTTTGAGTTAGCTTCAAGACTTGTCCAAAAGGCTATGAATGCTATTAGTTCTGCGAGAATGTAGCCTTAATATAAACAGGAACCGAACCTGTATGAAAACTGGTTGAGAAGAAGTGTTGCCAATCTAATCAAAATTAATATTCCTATTGTATGCAATATACTAGCTAATGATATTCCATCACATCTGTACTCTGAAATATGAGTGTCTTACACACCCATCAGCAAAAAGACTAAGTAAACCCCAGCACACCTCAAAGCAACAACAACTGAAAGTATTGATTCCTTTATAAATAATTTACGGCCTCATGAGCATTATGCTTATACTGATGGGCTAGTTCAAATGTCAACAGGTCACACTGCAGCAGCCTGTAGAATATACAAAAACAGCAGTTGTTTACAGACTACAAGTGTGATACTGAATAACTGGCTTAGCTCCACACATACAGAATTAGTTGCACTACAACTTGCCACTAATGCACTGAAGAACAGTGGGGTACTTTTCTGTGATTCAAAGTCAGCTCTTCATGCACTTAAGAACCTAAATTCCAAACTGGAAATTAAGAATGTTGTAACATCCATTATTATTATTATAAACATCATTAATACACAGAGTAAGAGTTCCGGTCTCATTGCAGAGTGGTGTCTGGGACAGGAAATTTTGTATTTTCTAATTGCTGATGATTAGTTTTTGAGCTGCACAGTGTAATCTTTCATATATGTTGTTGTTGAATTAGGGGCGAACACAATCGAGGGATCAGATGTGCCCAATCTTTCATATAATAGCAGCACACTGTTGTTGGTATGAAGGGCAGCGACGGAACTAAGACATATGCGTGGAAAATACAGAAGGGGCCAGGTCCCAAATCTGCACAGTAAAATAACAACGTACTGGAGTGAACAATATGAAAGAAAATGCAGAATAGAACCAGTGAAGAGCAGGGGTGTCATAGGCACAATCAGAGAATACTGTATAAACATCAGAGGTCCACGGTTGTTTAACATCCTCCCAGCGAGCATGAGAAATATGGCTGGGACAACCTTGGACATCTTCAAGAGAAAACTAGATAGTTTTCTTCAAGGAGTGCTGGACCAACTGGGCTGTGGTAAGTATATGGGCCTGCAGGCCACTGCAGGCAACAGCCTGGTGGACCAAACTCTCACAAGTCAAGTCTGACCTCGGGCCGGGCTTGGGGAGTAGAAGAACTCCCACAACCCCTTCTTCTTCTTGATAGTAGGTGCAGTTTGCATGAAGGGTTTGTCCTCCCAATGACTGCACCAGTACAAATGTTGGGAGAGGTATGTTGAGGAAGTTCCAAAAGTGCTTGTTGTGTTGGGGTGTAGATAGAGGAGCGGTGACTAAAACAGGTGTATGTTAGAGGGAGACTTACCACACCGTAGGGCGGTATGTTGTGTTTATGGTGTCAGCTGATCCATGGTAACCCCATCAAGCAGGTGTTGTGTATACCTAATAACCCCATCAAGCAGGTATCGAGCAGGTGTTGTGTATACCTAACCCTAAATAGATCCCCGGAGGTACAGTCGGGTTTGTTCTAGACTCACAATCAAGAATTCTGGGTTTGAGTCCTGAGCGGGACTGAAATGGTTGGACACGTTTCCTATCACCTAATGCTCCTGTCCACCTAACAGTAAATAAGTACTCAGAAGTTGGTCAACTTATTATGGGGTTGCATCCTGGGGGAGAGTCAGTAATTCAACCTTGGGGGAAAGGGAATGAAGGAGGACCTTGATACAAGCCTAACATGCCCTGAATATATATAATCATCCTCAACATAAACGCCTCTCCCAACATCTGTACTGGTGTAGTCATCCAGAGGATAAACCCTTCGTGCAAACCGCACTTACTATCAAGAAGAAGAGGCGACATTGGCCGTCTCTCCATAAACTCACATCTCTGCAAACTACTTCACTTGAAAATCATCACTCAAACGTCTTAAGCGGAGAAAACACAGGTCCTTCTTCTTCTTGATAGTAGGTGCAGTTTGCATGAAGGGTAAGAAAGGTCCACCTGAGCCTTGGGAGGATTGTTGTGTTGATTTAAAGGCGACGACGGGCGTGGGGGCCTTCGGAGGACCGCTGGGCCTCTACACTTTCAAAACAATAACAAAGCATTTCTTAAAAAAAAAAAAAATATATATATATATATATATATATATATATATATATATATATATATATATATATATATATATATATATATATATATATATATATATATATATAAATATATATATATATATATATATATATATATATATATATATATAAATATATATATATATATATATATATATATATATATATATATATATATATATATATATACATATATATATACCGAAAACCATTGACACCATTTTCGGTTAGGTAGCCGAAAAAGTTGGGTTAGGTTAGGTTAGGTTAGGTTAGGTAGGTTAGGTAGTCGAAAAAACATTTGTTCAGATTACCACGGATTCCTTTTCCCAAACAGCCTACCTTAATTTACTCCGACAGTTGATGCTTTGCTCATGTCGCATGTTTAATTTTGCGTTGCTGTGTTCAGTATGTTTGTTCATTTTTCCTTGCCTTACGTCATTAAGTAAAGTCAGCCAGGATGTGCTATTTGCAGAGTTACTAATTAAATTATTAAGTAAAGTCAGCCAGGATGTGCTATTTGCAGAGTTACTATGTAATTATTAAGTAGAGTCAGCCAGGATGTGCTGTTTGCAGAGTTCCTAAGTAAATTATTAAGTAAAGTCAGCCAGGATGTGCTATTTGCAGAGTTACTAAGTAAATTATTAAGTAAAGTCAGCCAGGATGTGCTATTTGCAGAGTTCCTAAGTAAATTATTAAGTAAAGTCAGCCAGGATGTGTTATTTGCAGAGTTACTAAGTAAATTATTAAGTAAAGTCAGCCAGGATGTGCTATTTGCAGAGTTACTATGTAAATTATTAAGTAAAGTCAGCCAGGTGTGCTATTTGCAGAGTTACTAAGTAAATTATTAAGTAAAGTCAGCCAGGATGTGCTATTTGCAGAGTTACTAATTACTAGTCTTTTGCTGGGCTACCTTTATGCTTCTCCCCTTCCTGTCTAGGTATGGCTAGCGGTGCGCGAGCCGCGTCTTATCGGTTGCCCCCCCCCCCCCTCTGGTTCCCTGTTTACTCGGTCTCTCCCGCTTACTTCCGCATTCTTCCAAACCATTCTACGTTATCGCCTCTCGCTTTTGGGCCTATGTCCTTTCTCAGACCGGGTTGTGTGCCGTCCAGCGCGCCTCGGCGACGTTATCTTCTCTTCGGCCCTCTGTCATTTCCGCCCCCCCCCCCAGCCGTGAGGGCTCGCCTGTGGGAAACGTCCCCTTGGTTCCTCCTACGTCTGCGTGTCTGTTAAATTTGTTATTGTTGGACTCGCAATTTGATTTGTATTTATTACGGCAAATTTTTCTCCCGCAATTTACTCTTTGTTTAAGTTTCACGTTCAATTTGTTATTAAGGGACTATCAATTAGGATTTGTATTAATCGGGTGGGCCCCCCCCCCACAATTTTTTTTTCCTCCGGTTATTTCGTCCTATTACACTCGTTTCCCTCATTATATATTCTGAATATTGTACATTATTTGACCACCCATTCTTCATCGTATCGACAGTACATTAAGTTACATTTGGATGCTACCGAGAAGTTTAGCATGGCCTCGCGCACGGTGTCATGCAAAAAACTGGCCATTCGGCCTTCCTTTCGGCAAGTCAAGCCAGTCAGTTAGCATGACGTCGGCCAGCTTGTGGTTGGCCAGCGCAGCCAGCATGCTGTTGGCCATACGGTCGCTAACGTTTTTGGCCATCCGGCCTTCTGGGCTATTTTACTCTTCTTGTTCCTTCGCCATTGTTGTTTCCTACTACGTAATAGTATTCTATTTAATTTTACCTCATCTATCATTAGGTTAGGGGCCCTTACCTCCAACCGCTATTCCTTCCACTGCGCTCTGCCCGCTTGGCGCTCAACGCCGGCTTCTTCTGTTCCCTTTATTCGCAGCCACGACAAGCCGGAACTTCCCCCCCCTCCACACCCTACTGCGGCGAGGAAGAGAACGCGAGCCGGATATTCCTCTGATCACCATTACAACGCACGCAGCGGTGTCGGGATGCAGCCGCCCAGGGCCTACGTTAATACTATTATCTTTCCTTTATTTGCTGGACTATATGGCAGTATTAATATTATTCCGTATCGTTACTGTCATTCCAGTATTATTTTATTAAAATATAAATTGTTATTATGGTTTGGCGTTGCTTTCTTAATTTCTTCCATTCTGCGGCACTTGCCGTCATCGGTTATTTACGATATTACATTGTATTCTTCATTGTACGATTATTCACGACATTGTATTCTTATTATTATCCTTATTACAGTTACTGAATGGCAGCTCCCTGCCGTCGATTTCACTTTGCTCCTGTTCTAAAGATGTTGCCGAAGTTCACGGCGTACTAGCCGCGGCTCGCAGACGCTCATTGACAACACAAGACTACACTCAGCGGCCACTTAAGGCAGACTCCTTGGCTTCTATCCAGCCCAATCACCCGTCTGGAGGCAGAGATGGGATAGAGACCAAGGGTAATGTTCCCCGCTCACATTCTACATCCGCTTAGGACACAAGCATGTTATAGATTTGGCTTTAAGAATTGGTTCTTATTCCATTTTATTGTTTATGTATATGTTGCTTAGTTGTTATACCCGTTCTTGGTATATGTATTGTTTATATTCAAGATTTATAGTGTTCCGTATTACCCTGTTATAGTTGCTTTGTGCTTCCTTCCTGTTCTCCTACTGGTTTTCTCCCACCTTTGCTCTTAGCAAAGGTACTTCCCCCTTCCGTTTGCTGGAAGATTCTTAGAATTGTTAGCCCCCTTCATTGCTACAGTATAATTATTCGGATGCTCTTTATTCATCCAGGATTGTTAATTAAGGTTTCTCTTAATTCCTGCTGCCGGGCTCCCTCCCCCGTTTTTCGTCTCCGTATTGGTTCAGCTAGGGTTTCCCTCTCGTCTGTGCTCTTGCCTGTCACGATAACACTGCACGCCGCTTCTGCCCACCCTTACTGCCTTATATCTTTCAGCCCGGGGGAGGTGAGCTACGCGACAAAAAATCGACGCACGCTCCGACTGGACCAGGTATCGCTGACATGGTCAGGAATCAACACTCTTCGGATCCTACAAGCACAGATCCTACAAGCGCTCCTGTCACCAGGCGAGATTTCTCCAGGATCCTACGCGCTGCCCTCTCGGCGCTAGGCTTGACTTCAGATGACTACGCTCCGCACACAGCTGTCTCGGGACGGGCTCGCCACATCAGAAATAATGGCAGACGGCAGGCGGAAGAGTAGTGCTCACTTCGTACGTCAGACGGGACGTTGTTGCTCTGCTACTTTGAGTGCCTCACGCGGCCATCAGGCACTCGCCCTTCGGGGGGGGGGGGAGGGGGGTCCGGCCGCTGGCCTGCGGTGGGGGTGCAGCGCCGGTCCCCAAGTGTCCCGCTGTCCGCAGCTAATACTTTACCCAGTCTAGGTGCTAGTAAGCCCTACTTGTAGTCACACCCCCTTCTCCTTATCCATTAGGTCTTTTACGGCCTCTTGGCCGGGTACATTACGTGTTATGTGGTCTCTCACTTATTAGTTATTCTTTGTGTCCTGCCTGTTATATCCTAGTGTTATATAATTACTACACATTTGCACTCGGCCTTAATTCTAGTACCAGTTAACCTTTAGGTTTCTGCAGAATTAGTTTCCATGTCACTATAGGCTAAGGTCTCATACTTACTACGGGTGTACCTTTTAAGTTAAATCTAGTCCTCGGACTTGGAATTGTTACTGTTAATTCTTACTTTATATATTTACTTTATATATTTTAATATAAACGTTATATATTTACTTAATTTATATTTGAAACTTTATATATTTACATGTTCAATATTAAGTTTAATATAATATCAACTTTGTTATAAGCCTATAATATAAACCGTGTTTAATATAAACTTTATATAATTACTTATTTTATATTTGAACTTTATATATTTACATATTCTGCAGAATTTAATCTACAATAAACTTTAACGCCCCATACTGCCAGTATCTTTCTCCCCCTGGTCAGAAAACTTGGCTTATTAGGCAAATCGGGCCTTGCAAAGTAGGCCGAGAAGTGCGTTCTGGCTACTAGGTACGACATATATATATATATATATATATATATATATATATATATATATATATATATATATATATATATATATATATATATATATATATATATATATATATATATATGACAATGTCAGACCACGGAGGAAAAATGAAACAGGAAATTTCCTTAAGTACTTTCGTATATTAAATACATCTTCAGAAGGTCCTTCTGAAGATGTATTTAATATACGAAAGTACTTAAGGAAATTTCCTGTTTCATTTTTCCTCCGTGGTCTGACATTGTCACATTCTTAATCACGTGTTTATTTTCGTGATATACACACACACATATATATATATATATATATATATATATATATATATATATATATATATATATATATATATATATATATATATATATATATATATATATATTATTAAATATGACCGAAAAAGTAAGATTAATAATTCTAACACGAATTTTCTCAATCTTTCATACATTACGCTTCACTGTTGGAGGTAAATCAAAAATCAATTCTCCAAAATTCATTTTTATTTCTAGTCTGACGCGACACGGGCGCGTTTCGTAAAACTTATTACATTTTCAAAGACTTTAGTTCACAAATACACAACTGAATCGTATCTCCGATTTTATATCTACATTTGAGTGAGGTGGGAGGGGTGATGTGGCATTAACACAAGACAGAACAAGAGGGGATATTAATAGGGTATTAAAAGTATCAACACAAGACAGAACACAAACAATGGGTATTGAATAGAAGTGTTTGTAGAAAGCCTATTGGTCCATATTTCTTGATGCTTCTATATTGGAGCGGAGTCTTGAGGTGGGTAGAATATAGTTGTGCAATAATTGGCTGTTGATTGCTGGTGTTGACTTCTTGATGTGTAGTGCCTCGCAAACGTCAAGCCGCCTGCTATC